CTTCGGCGACTACTCGCCCTCGGGAGCCGGGCGCGATCCGGCACGCCGCAGGCTGTGACTCAGAGCACAGGGGCGCGGGGAGACGGAGGAGCCCAGAATAGTCGAACAATCTCACCCTCCCACAACACAGCTCCCATCGCTTGGCAACGCGCGGGAGAACTCATACAGGCACCAGGGAGAGCCGAGTGGGAGGGGGCCTGGAAAAGCCCGGGGGGGGGGGGAAGAGATCTTGCTGGGAGGCTGACCCCTCATCACCAGGTGTTAATTAGTCCCAGCCATAGGGCAGGTAATCAATGGGGAAACTGAGTCACGGGCATGCACCCACGTCCCCCTCCCCAAGGAGGGGTTGAGTCAGAGGCACGGGACGGCCTGATGCTCACTCCCTGTTCTGGCAACCGAATCCGACCCCTCTCTGCAGCTGAGGGGACCCAGGAGTCCTGGCCGCCAGCCCCGCACCCCCTGCTCTGCCCAGGCCCCGGCTCAGTGCTGGTTAGTCACCCGGAGCGGGCGGATGGTGTCATCCGGGCCCATGACGAGTCCCCAGAGACACGCTGGAACTCAGCGACTCATGGCAAACCCACGCAGCCTGCAGCGCACCCCCGGACACACGCTCACATCCGCCCCCCAACACCCTCGCACACAGGGCCCCCTGCTCTATCCCAGCTGACCCCACAGCCCTCCCGGAGCTGGGAGAGAACCCAGGAGTCCTGGCTCTGAGCCCCCCCTCCACACTCTACCCCACCAGACCCCACTCCCCTCCCAGAGCCGGGAGAGAACCCAGGAGTCCTGGCTCTGAGCCCCCTATCCCACCAGACCCACTTCCCTATTAAAGCCACAGCTTTCTCTCCAGCCCTACCACCCCCGCCCAGCTCCAGGCTATATGATGAGATAATCTTCAGGACTAGGGGGAGGGGAGGCACATCAGCACTGGGGGGGGTGGGGTGGGCACAGCCCCCTCCCTGCCACACTGGCTGGGAGGGCGCCCAGCCCCACAGAGTCCCCCTAGGGAGGGAGCAGGACGAACACATGATCTCATCCTCCTCTGGCAGGGACGGTCTCCATTAGCCACTGGGCCGCAGACTTCCCGCCTCCCTCCGGGGGGCCATGACTCCTGCAGTGCTGGGGGGCACTGGTTCGCTCGGGGGCGGGGCCTGTCCCCTCTAGGGGGCGCCATCTCCCATCCGGTCTCAGTGCGGTACTGTCTGGGTCAGGGGGGCAGGGAATGGGGCCCGGGGCCTCTCCCCTTGCCCCAGCCCTAACCCAGAGCGGGGCCGTGCTTGGAGACGGGATACCGGGGTGATGGGTCTCGCCCCAGCCTGCCCGTTGCTCCGTTCCTGCAGGCAGAGGCTGGGTTTCTTCCTGTTTCTCTTGCTGCTCTAAATTTAGAGCGAGAGCAGAGCAGGTCCATGTGCCATCAGCTTCCCACGCAGCCCCGGAGCAGCAGGGCGCGGCAGGCGGAGGAGATGCCTGGGGGCTGAGGCAGACCCGGAGGCGGGGGCCGTGCAGTGACAGGCCAGAGGGGCACTGGGATGAGAAGTGGCACCTCCGCAAAATCAGAGGGGAGGGTCAATAGGGGCCTGAGAACGCTCACATGGGACCCCGATCTCGGCCAGGGTCTGGGCGGCGCCCGGCACCGGGGGGCCCCGATCTCGGCCAGGGTCTGGGCAGCGCCGGCACCGGGGGGCCCTGATCTCAGCCGGGGTCTGGGCGGCGCCGGCACCGGGGGGCCCTGATCTCAGCCGGGGTCTGGGCGGCGCCCAGCACCACACACACGCCTGCTGCCATAGCGTGCCCTGCTCGGCCGATGGACGTTGGGCCGTAGAGAGCTGGAAATGACGCGGCCCCGAGAGGCCGTTATAAATAGACACCGATCGATACCTCGCAGACCAGGCCTCCGGCAAGAGAAACCTGCTCCCGTTTTCTTCCCGCAGCCCGTCCCGACGCCGCGCCCTCTGCCCTCCTCAAAGAGCCCTGCCCGACGGCCCGAGATCAAGACCTGACTGAGATCCGGCCCGGTCGCCACGGGCGCCCCCCAGACCCCGACCGAGATCCGGCCCCGTCGCCCCGGGCGCCCCCCCCAGGCCCCAACCGAGGTCAGGGCCCTGTCACCCCGGGCGCCCCCCAGACCCCAACCGAGATTCAGCCCCACCGCCTTGGGCGCCCCCCAGGCCCCAACCGAGATCCGGCCCCGTCACCCCGGGCGCCCCCCAGACCCCAACCAAGATTCAGCCCCACCACCTTGGGCGCCACGCAGGCCCTGATTGAAATTGGCAGCCCCTGTGGTGCAGGCACTGCACAGAGATTAACCTGGTTTTGGCTGCCAGCAGCTGAAGTGGGGAAACTGAGGCACAGTTGAGTGCTGGAGGTGCGGGTACGCATCGCTTAGCATCTTTCCTGCCCGTAACCCCTCATTTCTCAAAGGAGACCTGAGCCTAGCTCCCGCGGCGGATCGGTGATACCGGAGTTCTAGGGCAGCCTCTTGGATCCGGCGGATTCGGGGTCGGTCCTGGTGCAGGAACCCAGCTGAGGGATCCACTTGTTCTCTGCTGCTCACTGCCCCCCCGCCCCGCCGCCTGTGACTGGAAACCATGGCAACAGCAAGCGGGCGAGGATGAACGGAGTCATCTTCCAAAGCCCAGCCTGTTTCGGGGCCGCGGCACTGTTGATTGGGGGGGGGATATTAACACCCCCCAAGCTCTGCCGGTGCCCCTCACTCCCAACTAGGCTGACCAGACAGCAAGTGTGAACAATCAGGACAGGGGTGGGAGGTAATAGGAGTCTATATAAGAAAAAGCCCCAAATATCAGGACTGTCTTTATAAAATCGGGACATCTGGTCACCCTACTCCTGACCTGCAGCCCCTGTTAGCCCAGCCCTGCCCGCCCCCAGCTCTGCCGGTGCCCCTCACTCCCGACCCGCAGCCCCTGCTAGCCCAGCCCTGCCGGCGCCCCTCACTCCCGACCCACAGCCCCCTGCCAGACCAGCCCTGCCGGCGCCCCTCACTCCCGACCCACAGCCCCCTGCCAGCCCAGCCCTGCCGGCGCCCCTCACTCCCGACCCACAGCC